CCACGACCACGACCACGACCACGACGACCACGACCACGACGGCGACGGCGGCGGCGGCGGCAGCGTTGAGGACGACGACGACAACGACGGCGACGACGACGAGAGTGATCGGGATAAAAGATGGAGGGAGGGGGGGCGAGGACGAGGGAATTGAGGCCAGCCAGGGGCAGGTCCTTCTCTTTTCTTGTGCGCGGGGAGGGGGGGGGGGGCGGGGGAGGAAAGCGACGACGACGAGAGGAATAGGCTCAGATCAGGCATGTCCCCCTACAGGCGGATTGTGGAGAGAAAAATGCCAAAAAGTCCAGAAGCAATCAAACATTGCAAAAAAATTAAGGAAAAAACGAAACATCGTCCCCAGACTATTTCTTGACTAGTTTTGAATATTCCGCCTGTAGAAGGACGTGCCCGACTCAGTGATAGGCGCAGAAAGAACAGCCGCACAATCGTGAATTCTCGAAGCCCCGCGCGGGATCTTTGGAAAAGGCACTGGACAGCCCTCCCTTGCCTGCGGAGCGCGTTTCGGGGGGGAGGAGGGGGGGACGAAGGCAAGAAAGGAGGGAGAAGGGCAAAGGAGGAAGGAGGGAGAAGGGGAAAGGCGGAAGGAGGGAGAGGGAGGAGGGGAAAGGAGGAAGGAGGAAGGACGGAGAAGTGGCAAGGAGGAAGGGAAAAGGATGAAGAAGGGATCAGAGAGGAGGGAGGGAGACGGAAGGGGAGGGGAGAAAAGAGGGAGCAAAGCGACAGGAGGAGGTCGGCGGCGCCGGCGCGGAGGAGCTCGGGCTCCACACCGCGGCGCGATCCTCCCAACCCATGAACTCGGACCCCGCTGGGGAGGCCTGGAACCTGGCAGCGGGATCGGTGCCTTTCCCTCCTCTCACCCTCCCAGGAGGAGAACGCTCGAGTTGGAGGCGGCCGCGGGGTCCGAACTGCATGGACCTCGAGAAAACCGGTCAAGAATGAAGGGGCCCTGGGACACACAAATAAATACACACAAATAAAAAAGATTCCCCATATTTTCCTATATTTTCTGGGTCTTTGTCTTCCCCACCGCTTCCCATATGTTCCCATATTTTCTGGGGGATCGACCATTAATTGTGTCTGTGTTTTTGTTCTCTCCTGAAAGAAGGGTGGATAAGGGCACATGCACTCCAAAATCGGTACCCGAACCCATCTGGTGCAATTGATCACCCTGGACCAGTTTTTGACAGTCCCGGGGCCCAGAAACGGCCCCCGGAGGCCGAAAACGCAGCAACAACAAACAACAAAGTCTAACCTACCCCCCCCCCCCTGTGCTGCCCGCCGGAAGCAATGCTCGGCAGCCTCTAGGCGGCGCGCCCAGGGGGGAAGTGAGAAGGTGCGGGCCTTCTCAGAAGGCTCAGAAGTTCCCCAGCCTTTTGAGAATGTTTCGAAGTCTTCCCGTAGACACAGAAAACTTGTCAGAAGGCCAGAGGACTTCTGAGAAGGCCCGCCTTCAGAGAGGGCCTTCTCCTTCTCACTTCCCCCCCCGCTCGCCGCCCGAGGGCACCTAATTTCGCACTTCGCGCTTCGCGCTGCGCGAAGCGCGAAGCTCGATTACCTTCGCGCTGTCGCGCCGACCCCCAGGGGAGAAGAGCAGGAAGAGGAGAAATCGGAGCCGAAGCTGCGCAGCGCGAAGCGCGAAAAGCTTCGAGCCCTCGAGGGCGCCCTCGGCCGCCGAGCCTCAGAACCCCGGCCGGCTGCCACCCCCGAGGCCCGACGTGGTGAGCAATAAATAGAAATACCCCTAACCCTCTGGGAAGGTGCCTTTCTTAGGAGGGCCAAAAACATGAGGGCCAAAAACATGAGGGGGACAACATGAGGGGTACAAAACATGAGGTGCCAACGTACATAAAAATACCCCCAACCCTTAGGAGGGCCAAGAACATGAGGGGTAAGGGGGTCTTTTCTGCAGATGCATCAGACCAAACTGCCCAGATTTACTATCCTTGATGCAGGCCACTTCTTCGTCGTGCTATCTAGAAGAAGAAAAAACTGCATAAAAATGAAAGCGTTTGGCGCTTCACGCGGATGTCTTGGATCTGCGCTGGGCCCCCCTCCCTGGCGCGCGGAGCGCGCCAGGGGCGGCGCCGGAGGCGCCGCCAGGGGGCCCAGCGCGGATCCAAGAAATCCGCGCGGAGCGCCAAACGCTTTTATGTTTATGCCGTTTGTTCTTCTTCGCCTCTCAGGATTACGGGTCCTCTTGTTCTCCACTTGGCCACAGGCAAACCCTGCCCCACCACCCCACGACTTCTGAGGGAGGCGGCGAACCTCCCGAGCACAGCGCGCCCCACCTCCCCCCTCAGAAATCGTGGAGTGGTGAGGTCGGTTTCGCATGTGGCTTCCAATATTAAATTAAAAGCCTCCTAGATGGGGTCGGAGCAGGTGGGGTCGGAGGATCGCGCCGCATCGCCGATGCATCGGCGATGCATCGGCGATGTATTGGCGATGCGCCGGCGATGTGTCGTCGACGTGGGCGATGCATCCGCGACGCCGACGTGAAGCAGGTCGGGCTCCACATCGAGCCGCATCACCGAGGCATCGGCGATGCGGAGCGATCTCCTCCGACCCCACCTGCTCCGACCCCACCTGGGGGGCCCAGATAGATCTATGGACGACGGGGGCGCTGAGCAAGAGTCGGGTGTTGCCAGAAGTGTCCCTGGACAAGGTGCCCCCAGGATTTCCAGGGGGGCCCCCACGGCCTCCAGAGCGCCCCTCCCGAGGCCCAGAGGGCCCCAGGGGCTCCAAAATGAAGCGACAAGCTGGGGGCACCTCGGGCCAGGGGCGCCTCTGGCAGCACCCGGAGGAGGGCCGCCCCGGGCCGGCCTCCGCCCGCGGCGTGCCGAAGGTCCTCGGCGGCAGCGACGCCGAGCCGCAGTCCCGAGCCTGGCCGCCGCGGGCGCTCCTGGGCCGCAGGGCCGGGGCGCCGCGTCGACGACCCGGGGAGCCGACGGCGCCGACACGGTCAATCCGCAGGATTGGGAGAGGACAAAAACCACAGAAGCATGACTTTTGGCTGGTAGCCCCTTCCGAACCCGCTGGCAGCCTGCTGGTGGCCCCTTCCGAACCCGAGCTGGGTCGTATGCCAGCGCGGTGGCTGTAGGCTGCATCTAGCTTGTGGCCCGTCTAATCGACGTGTCGTGGTGGGGGTTCCGTCCACCCCCTAACTTTTTGGCGCTGCGCGCGGATCTCTTGGATTCGCGCTGGGCCCCCCTCCCTGGCGCGCTCCGCGCACCAGGGGCGGCGCCGGAGGCGCCGCCGGGGGGCCCAGGCGCGGATCCAAGAATCCGCGCAGAGCGCCAAAAGTTTATGTTCATGGCGTTTTGTTTCCTTCGAAGTCAACTCGTATGATCAAGATTGTCGGTAAGGATGCAAGGGCCTTGGAGGGCCATGTCAGCGCTTTTCGAACGAGGCTGGCCAGCGAAAGTCGCCAAGGATGTGCCGAAGGGGCAAAGATGCTTCTGAGTCCTGCCGGCCCAGAGGGGACCCAGACACCCCCGAGTCGTGAAAAAATCACGGCGGGAAAGGTTTCGCTGTTTTCGGCCTCTGGGAGCCCTCACCCGCCCTACGGGCCGTCAAGGAACGACTCAGGACGAGGAGCAGGTCCTTGGGAGTGGGTCGAGATCTCGGCGGGTCGACGCTATGACAAAAGTCATGACGTCGGGGTTCTGGGGAGGAGGGGGGGCTGGGGCTCCCAGGGGGGGGCCTTCTTGGAGGCTCGTCCTCCTCCGCATCTCGCGCCTCCTCCCCTTCCTCCTCCTCCTCCTCCTCCTCCTCCCTCCTCCTCCTCCCTCTCCTCTCCTCCTCCTCCTCCTCCTCCTCCTCCTCACCTCCTCCTCCTCTCCTCCTCTCCTCCTCCTCCCTCCCTCTCCTCCTCCTCCTCCTCCTCTCCTCCTCCTCCTCCACCTCCTCCTCTCCTCCTCCTCCTCCCCTCCTCCTCCCTCCTCCTCTTCCTCCTCCTCCTCCTCCTCCCCTCCTCTCCTCCTCTCCCTTCTCCCTTCTTCTCCTTGTCCTCCTCCCCCCCCCATCCCCCTCCTCCTCCTCGAGGAGGAGGAGGAGGAGGAGGAGGATGGGGAGGTGCCTGACTTGTTGTTGTTTCAGCACGAGGCGTTCAGATGCGGCGGTCGTTCAATCAACGTCGGCGTGGCGTAGAATGGAAAAAGAGGGGGAGGCGACTTTGGGACAGGAGGGGTTCTTTCTGGGCCCGTGCATGCCGCCGGAGGCCTCTGGGAACCTCCAGGGAAATCCAGAGACCTGCGGATACCCGCAGGGACTTCCAGGGGGGGAGGTGGAGGGCCGGGGGAGGTACTGTGGAGATGTGCAATCTGGGTACCACTGTTAGGGAAAGCGGAGGCACGAATCGGCAGAGCTCCTTCCAATATCGCAACTGCCCAGGGGTCCCGCCCGAAAGCAAATATTCCGCTTGGAATGCCTCCACCGTACGTGGCTCTCTTGGAAGGCTGATGGCTCCTTACAAGGTACCACTAGCCCCATACACTTCGTACGCCACGCACCGTCCAAGAAGCCAGAGAGGCTTATTCGAGGCCGTCCTGCTTCTCCTCATTCTCATCATTAACAACGACTTGATCCCCGAAATTCCGATCACCGGGTCCATATCACAGTAGTCGTTATCATCATCCCTGTAATCATCATCGTCATCAGCAGCAGTAGCAGTAGCATTCTCGTCACCACCACCATCAGTACCGTCGCCAAAATTGACGACGCTATAAGCATCATCCTCAGCAGCATCTTCAGCAGCATCATCAGCATCACCAACACCATCTCAATCACCATCCCATCATCAACATCATCATCTTCATCATTACCATGATCGTCATCTTCATCAGCATCACCATCATCAGCATCAACATCATCATCAGCCGCATTAGCATCAGCATCCGCATCATCAGCATCACCATCATCATCGTCATCGCCATCGTCATCGACATCGTCATCGTCATCATCGAGCCATCGGCACCATGATCAGAGTCAGCATAGCCATCGTCATTGCCAATAATCGCATCATCATCACCACCACCATCATCAAACTCACCAGCACTGCCGTCATCAGCGTCAGCATCAGCATCGGAATCATCATCAGCAGCAGCAGCATCGTCACCGTAGTCGTCCTCGTCATCGCCAGTATCCTCGTCATCGACATTGTCGTCGTCATCGTCGTCGTCAGACATCGGCATTGGCATCGATGTCATCATCACCCTCATGTAACCACCACCGTCATCATCACAACCACCATCATGGTCAACACCATAATCAGCATCCCCATCCTCCTCACCCTCTACCACTTCCTCTTCACACTCTTCGAGTTCCTCCTCCGCCTACTCCCTCCTCCTCCATCCTATCCTCGTCATCACCACAAACACAATCATCATCAACGCCATCATGGTCAGCCACATCCACATCCGCCTCATCCCACTCCTCCTCACCCTTCACCAGCTCATCCTCATCCTCGCTCCTCCTTCTGCTCCTTCTTCTCCTCCTCCCGCCCATAATCGATCCTCAATCCTCCTTGAACTCCTCTTCCTCCCCGGAGGAGGCCGAGGAAGGAGAGGAGGCTCAGGAGAAGGAGGAGGAGGAGGAGGCGCAGGAGGCGAACGAGAAAGGGGAGGAGAAGGGGGAAGGGAGGGAGGCGGGAAAAGGAGGAGGAGGAGGAGGAGGAGAAGGACGAAGAGGAGGCGGGAGACCGACCGGTGGGAGAGAGGAGAAGAAGGACGCGGAGAAGCAGCAGCTTGAGGGCCCCAGAACCGTGTGGCGCTGGACAGCGTGCTGACCTCGCAATCCCCAGCGACCTCACCGCACGGCCTTAGGACCCGGAGGCCTTCCCGAGACGTCCTCGGAGAACGACCCGAGTCCTCGGAAAAAACCGCGCGGTGGCCCGGAATCCCCACCGACTCGCCACGCGGTGTGGCCGCGACACCGTGTGGGGGCCCCCGGATCTCCCTGTCATAAGATCTGACGTTGCGGCAAGGAGACAGCATGCTAATTGGCCTCGTTCGTGTCCCGGACTTTGCTTCTCGCCGCCTGACCGAAAAAAGGAGACAGCATACTGAAAAAAGCGGCCCGAGCCTCAGACCCACTGTTTCTGCCACACGTTTCGAGCCGGGTCGATCTGTGAGGGTCCTGAGGGCCCGAAGCCAGGTGAAGATGCCCGCTGCGCAACAATGGCAACGCCAGGATTAGCGGCCTCCCAGATGGGGTCGGAGTAGGTGGGGTCGGAAGATCGCGCTGCATCGCCGATACATCGGCGATGCATCCGTGATGCATCGGCGATGCATCGGCAATGCACCAGCGATGCATCGTCGATGTCGGCGGTGCATCGGCGACGTCCTGGCGATGCGGCGCGATCCTCCGACCGCATCTACTCCGACCCCATCTGGGAAGCCTAGCGTGGACAACGAGGACAGGGGTGGGAAACCTGTGGGGGGGGGTCCTGGACGGGGGTGACGGGGGTCCCGGGGAAGTCCCTTCAGAAGGAGGAGGAGGATGAGGAGGAGGACGAGGAGGAGGAGGAGGAGGAGGAGGAGGAACAGGAGGAGGAGGAGGAGGAGGAGGAGGAGGAGGACCCCATCTGGGAGGCCCAGAACCCGCGAGCTTTCCCTCAGCCGCCGGGCTTTCGCGGCCGGCTCCGGTGAGTCCCCGTCCAGAGGGCGAGCAGCGCGGCGCGGAGGCGGTTGAGGGGCCCCAGCTGCAGGTCCTGGCCATGAAGGGCGGGGAGGAGGCAGGAGCGTCATGATGAACGAGGAGGAGGACGAGGAGGATGAGTACTCCAAGCGCGGGCACTCCTGCAGGAGGAGGGAGGAGGAGGAGGAGGAGGAGGAGGAGGAGGAGGAGGAGGAGGAGGAGGAGGAGGAGGGAGGAGAGGAGGAGGAGGAGGAGGAGGAGGAGGAGGAGGTAGGAGGAGGAGAGAGGAGGAGGAGAGGGAGGAGGAGGAGGAGGAGGAGGAGGAGGAGGAGGAGGAGGAGGAGGAGGAGGAGGAGGAAGGGAGGAGGAGGAGGAGGAGGAGGAGGAGGAGGAGGAGGAGGAGGAGGAGGAGGAAGTAGTCGCTGTGTCGCCGCCGTTTCGTCGTCCGTTTCTCCTCTCCCCCCCGGGGGCTGCGGAGGAGCAGGAGGAGGAGCGGCAGGAGGAGACAAGGGAGGAGCGAGGAGCGAGGAGCGAGGAGCGAGGCGCGGGGAGGTAGTACCCGTTTTGGGGTGCTTGCCCGCCCGCGCCGCTGAGGTGTGGTAGATCTGCCTGGAGCGGATGGTAAGGCCATATGAAGGGCCCTAAAAAAGTCGTCGTCGATATTGCACCTGGCCCATCTACCAACGAGACTTGACAGGATCCGCGCAGGGTGCACACCATGGCCGACAAGGACACCAACACTGGGTGCCCCCGGATCTCTTCGGCAGGCAGCGGCACTGACGATTTGCTCTGCGGAACCTCTGCTGCCTGGCATTCGGCTTCAGTTTTCAGCCTCATTTTCGGTCGCCCTTGTGAGGGCCGCCTTCACAGCATTAGACTGAGCAAGAGGAGCCAACTGCAGCCCCTGGTCCCCCTGTGCCTTCAGACTCTGCTGAGGGGTGGGGTTCACAGGTGGAGGCCAGCAATTTAGCTAGACTCGCAGGGGCCCTAGACATAGCTTAGCATCTGTTTCATTGGATCACATTGCCCCCCTCTAAGACACTTAATGCGAACAATCGTAAGCTCAGGAATTACCTCAGCGGGGGGGGGGCGCTGTACAAGCGGTCGGGGCGGTCAGACTCACTGTCACGACAATAAATCTGGCATGCCGCCCATCCACAGAATCTTTTGTGGAGCTTCGCGTCTGACATGAGGGACTCATAGTGCTTCACCAGAGCATCAGGCATCGCATGCATCATCGCTCCCTGCCCCGAGCATCCCAAGAGAAGAAGGATCAGAAGGAGGACGAGGCGTGAGAGGGGGAGGAGAGGGAGGAAGGGAGGGAGGGGGGAGGAGGAGGGAGAGGGAGGACTCCTCCTCCATTCTCCTAGTCCCCCTCCTTCCCACCCTTTTCCTCCGCCTCTCCCTCCACCCCCTCCTCCTGCCCCACTCCTCCTCCTCCTCCTCCTCCTCCTCCTCCTCCTCCTCCTCCTCCTCCTCCTCCTCCTCCTTTTACTTCTCCTCCTCCGACGACGGCGACGACCCCGACGACACCGACACCGATCCCGACGACGACGACGATCCCGACCCCCACGACGATGACGACGACGACGACGACGACGACGACGACGACGACGACAACCTGCTCTCGCACGGGGGCCTTCAGGTTAGGCATGGCGTCCAGGCCGGTGGGCACCGCGTCCAGCCGGTTGCCGCTGACGCGGAGGGTCTGCAGCGAGCGGAGGTTGCACAGCTCCCGCGGCAGCTCCCTAAGCAGGTTCCTGCGCGGCGGGAAGCAGGACAGAGAGGATAGGCAGAGAGATGTCGCCACATGATGCGAACTTTCCCCCCTCCCCACCGGATCCCCCTCCTCATCCTCCTCTTTTATATTATCCTGCTCCTCCTCCTCCTCCTCCTCCTCCTCCTCCTCCTCCTCCTCCTCCTCCTCCTCCTCCTCTTCCTACTCCTCCTCCGATTCGCATCACGTGACGGATCCAAGTCACCGAGAGGAGGAGTCAGGAGGCAACTCCTGGGAGGTCCTCCTAAGAAAGAATGAAGGCTGCTAGTCCCGACTTCGAGGCCACTGGGCCAAACTTGCCCAAGTCGAACCTAAGATGAAACCCGGCTGAACTGCACCAGGCCGGCCCAAACGGAATTAAGCGGGACGTGGCCGGATAAGGCCGGTCTCCAACCCCGGATATACCAGCGCCGATGCTGAATTTGAACTCCCAGGAGTTGTATCCTGAAGAGAGAGGGAGGGGGGAGGAGGAGGAGGAGGAGGAGGAGGAGCAGCAGCAGCAGCAGCGGGGAGTTGGAGGGATCCTCTCCCTCCTCCATATTCTCATCCTCATCATCCTTCTCCTCCTCTTCCTCCTCCTCCTCCTGTTCCTTCTCCCCCTCATCCTCCGCCTTCTCGTCCTCCTCCTCCTCCTCATCATCATCATCATCAGCAGCATCATCATCAGCATCAGCAGCAGCATCCTCATAATCATCATCAGTAGCAGCATATAAGCATCATCATCATCAGCAGCGTCATCATCATCATCATCATCATCATCATCATCATCATCATCATCATCATCATCATCATCATCAGCATCATCATCATCATCATCACCAGCAGCATCATCATCATAATCACCATCAGCATCACCATCATCATCAGCATCATCAACATGATCAGCATCAGCAGCATCGTCATTATGCACATCATCACTCAACAATGATTAAAGAGTGAAACTACTCTCCCCTTTCCTCCGACGGCGCAAAGTTACCGCAGGGAAACCAACTCCGAAAAACAATGTTGAAACCATGTTGTCCGCATTAGGGGGCTACAAAGCCTGACGAAGCCAAGCTTACTCGACCCCACAGTAATCATATCAAGCTGGAGTAGACCATATTGGACCCGGGTTGGCCAGATAAGCACCAAAGGGCTGCAATCTGAAGCAAAAGGAGGCGGACGAGTACAATGCATAGATCTCTGTCCCCCCTCCTCCACGGTCGCTCAGCCTGCCGCCTCCCCCTCCTCGCTCCTCCTCCTCCTCCTCCTCCTCCTCCTCCTCCTCCTCCTCCTCCTCCTCCTCCTCCTCCTCCCCCTCCTCCTCCTCCTCATCCTCCTTCTCATTATGCCCCGCCTCCTCCTCCCCCGCCTTCTCCTCCTCCGCTCCTCCTCTTCCTGCTCCTCCTCCTCCTCCGCCTTCTCCCTCCTGCACATCCCTCCTCCTCGTCCTTCTCCTCCCCCACATCCTTCGCCTCCTCCTCCTCCTCCTCCTCCTCCGCCTCCTCCTCCTACTCGTCCTCGTCATCCTCCTCCTCCTCCTCCTTCTCCTCCTCGGCCCTCCTCCACATCCCTTATCCTTGCCCTCCTTTGACAGCTCGTGTGGCAGGAGGGAGGGAAAGGCTTCTGAAGAGCTTCGGAGGAGGAGGAGGAGGGATCAGGGGGAGGAGGATGAGGAGGAGGAGGAGGAGGAGGAGGAGGAAAGAAGGGGGAGGAGGAGGCGGAGGAGGAGGAGGCGGAGGAGGATGAAGAGGAGGAGGAGGAGGAGGAGGAGAGGAGGGAAGAAAGAGGAGGAGATGGAAGACGAAGAGAATGATGGCTGCGTCGTTTGCGTCCCTGAAGCTAACAGCAATAGCAATAGGAGGAGAGGACTCTCGAAGTAGTTCGTAGATTTCTATAGTGTTGCGTATGTGTCCGGGGGGGGGGGGGGAGGGGCTCCAGCGGTGTGCGGAGGAGAAGCAGCAGCAGGAGGGTCGGGGACAACAGCGCCAACAGCCAGAGCGAGAGCGTGCGGAGGAGATGGAGGATGCAGATCCAGGAGGGGCATCCGAAAAGGAGGACAGGGGAGAGGGAAGAGGGAGGGGGGGGGACGGGGGCAGACAGATCGCGGCTGTGCCGACCAAGCCTGGAGAAGCGGGGAGGCAGGCGACGAAGCACACAGGCTTGACGCACACCTCACAGCCTGGATCAGGAGCAAGCATGTCCGCACCCCCCGCAGGGACGGACACGAGTGGTGCGCTTGCCCCGAGCTCGCAGACCCGCCGCCAGCGCCGACCAGCTCAAAGTCCAACCCCGGTGTGCCCCCAGCGAGCCTCGGGCACTCGCCGCCTGCCCCACTGCGAGGAGGAACTGTTGATCAGCGTGTCGCGGCGGAGGCCCCTGCGCCCCGCTATATAGTGCTAGTCCGTCCTATCCTTCATGGCCTCCCCCTCCCCCCCTCCTCCTCCTCCTCCTCCTCCTCCTCCTCCTCCTCATCATCATCATCAGCAGCAGCAGCAGCAGCAGCCGCATCATCATCATCATCATCATCATCATCATCATCATCATCATCATCATCATCATCATCATCAGCATCATCATCATCATCAGCAGCATCATCAGCATCATCATCATCATCAGCAGCATCATCATCATCATCATCATCATCATCATCCTCATCATCATCAGCATCATCAGCACCGTCATCATCGTCATCAGCATCATCATCAGCATCATCATCATCAGCATCATCATCATTCGCAGCAGCAACATCGTCGCCTTCCTCGTCCTAATCACCATCCCGATCCTCATCAGCATCTGTAACATCCTCATCATCCTCATCATCATCATCATCAGCATCATCAGCATCGCCGTCGCCATCATCGTCATCATCATACACCGCATTGGTATCGTCATCAGTAGCATAATCAGCATCCGCATCCTCATCACCATCAGCAGCAGCATCCTCATCTGAAGCACCATCCCCAGCTTCAGCATCAGCATAATCATCACCACTACCACCATCAGTGCCATCATCATCAGCAGCAGCATCATCAAAATCGGTCTCAACAGCTTCAGCGACAACATCCTCATCATCATCAGCAGCCGCATCACCATCAGCATAGTCATCATCATCAGCATCGTCATCCACATCATCATCAGCAGCAGTATCAGCATCATCATCATAATCAGTATAAACACCGTCAGCATCACCATCATCACTATCATCACCATCATCAGCTTAATAATCGTCATCAGCATTACCAGCATCCGCATCAGCATCATCATCATCATCATCATCATAGTCACCATCATCAGCATCACCAGCATCCTCCTCGTCTTCATCATCAGCATCGCCATCATCCCCATCGTCACCAGCATCATCATCGGCAGCATCACCATCAGCACCATCTTCATCGCCATCGGCATCAACACCATCACAACCACAATCATCCCCCTCGTCATCATCAAGACGATGAGCAGCCCTCCTGATGTCCTCCACCTCCCCGCCCCCCAACTGCTAGGCATTCAGCCTTCTCCTGGCCCTCCGCCTCCCCGTGGCCTCTGGACGCCCAGGTACCGCAGCGACCCCAGGAGGCCCAGGCTCTCGGGCAGCACGGTCAGGAGGTTGTCCTCCAGGTGCAGGGCCTCCAGCTTCAGCAGCTGGCCGCAACTCCTTCGACGCGGGAGGGAGGAGGGAACCCCCATCGGTCGGAAGAAGTAGGCAGAAACATGAAGTAGGAAGGCGCTGAGAGCAGATTGGGTGTCGGCCCGCCCCCTGAAGAGACGACCGATGGGTAGTGAGGAGAGCGGAGAGGCCAGGGAAGGAAAATGGAGAGGAGAGGCTAGCTATCCCTGCCTCTCATCCCGCCACCCCTCCAATCCCGTACGTGCTATCCCTCCCCGCCAGCCCTTCCCATTGCGCTGCGTGCTGTCTCTATCCGTGAACGCGTCTCATAACCAACCTGGAACCCAAAAAAAGACCCCTTATCTAGTCACATGCAAACGGAAACTGGGAGCTGCGCACATAGGAGGAGGAGGAGGAGGAGGAGAATTAAGGAGGAGGAGGAGGTGGCGGATAAGCAGGAGGATGAGGAAGAGGAAAAGGAGGAGGAGGAGGAGGAAGGAGGACGAGGCCGAGGAGCAGCAGCGGGAACTGGAGCGGAATGAGTGGTAAAAGCACGTGAACCAGAGGGAGGCAGAGGAGGGGGTTCGAGGGTGGCGACAACGACGGAACAACAAGAGTCGGATCCAGAAGAGTCGCCCGCGCGGGGGCGGCAGCACCGTGCTGAACAACGGGAGCACAGCGCCGACCCGAAAGCGAAGCCCACGCTGCAGCGGGAAGAGCATCCGCAACCATCGGATAGAAAAAAACTAAACATTTACACATATACAGTCGGGGCGCTGACCTAAGGAACCCTAAATAAGGAACGAGGCCCCTTTTCTCCAGAAGTTGAATTTCGATTTCCCATGGAAAACCTCAGGAAAACAGAAGGCAAACTGTAGAACAATCAAGGAACACCGAGCCCCTCCCCAACGAAAAGGGTTCCTTCTGCAGGGCCCCGGCTGTACGTAGCGCCCCGCAGTTGCGGATAAGAGTGAGGGGGCTGCGGGGACGTAGGCAGTCTGCGAGGCTTTGAAGCAGCCCGCCGCAGGCACAAAATCTTTCAAGCTATACAACGAGCCCGCCGCAGGCGCAGATTTTTTGTCAAAACAATGTAGGTGGGTGGCGAATTGAGTCGTAGGTGGGTCGCGGGTGGGTCGACGGTGGGTCGGGGGTGGGTCGCGGGCCGGGTCGCGCGTGGGTCGCGGGTGGGTCGCGGGTGGGTCGCGGGTGGGTCACGGGTGTGTCGCGGGTAGGTCGCGAGCGGGTCGCGGGGTGGTCGCGGGTCACGGGGTGGATCGCGGGTGAGTCGCGAGGTGGGTCGCGGGTGAGTCGCGGGCGGGGTCGCGGGGGGGACGACGACAGCAACAACAACAACAACAACAACAAAACAACAGCAACAACAACAAGCAGAATCCTCGACAGGGATCCGCACTTCAGCCACACACCCAGGAACAATGAATGACCGTTCGGCCCCCCTCACTCTGATAAAATACATATATATATATATACATACCTATATATAAACAAAAAAAAAAGAAGCTCCCCAACCCTCTGTAAAAAAAGAGAACGCGGAGATGGCCGAGCATTTTGCGGGCAGAACCAAGGGAGAGAGGAGAGTAGTAATCTCTCTTACCTATGCGACCACCCCTCCGGTGATGAGGGGGTGGGGGGAGGGGAGAACCAACTGCTGGCAATTGCGATGGGTGTGATCATGACGAACGGTGGTGGCGCGCCCTCGAGTTGGCGACGACGCGTGATGACAACGTTGCGCCGAGATGAGATGTCACTATCGACTTCACGCAACGGATCTCGCTATCTATCTCACAGTCGATCTCACATTCGATCTTGCGATCAATATTCGATCTCACTCGACCGATCTCACTATCGATGTCACGTTCGGTGTCTGGAGCGATCTCAGTCGATCTCACAATCGAGCCCACCATCCATCCCAATATCGATCTAACTGTCGACCTCGCATTCGATCGCACTATCGACCTCACTATCGATTGCAATATCGATGCGACTATCGATATCACTATCGATCTCACTGCCGGTCGCATGATCGATGCAAGTACCGATCTCACAATCGACCTAACTATCGATCCAACTATCGATTCCACGACCGATCTCACCACATCTCGGTCGTTATCGGTCTCACGATCGATCTCACGATCCATCAGGACACCATAGGGGCACCACGGTGGGACACCGCGGGACACCACGGGACACCGCGGGACACCACTGGGACACCACTGGCCACCACGAGACACCGTCGGGACACCGCGGCGGCACACCGCGGGACACCATCGGGACAACGCGGGACACCACGGCGGGACACCCCCAGCTACGGCGCGCCCACCGGAGGGCAAGACTCATATATCCGAGTCGTCCTAGCGACGGCGGGATCATTGCTCTCGCGCGCCCACGGCGAGACACCGCGGGACACCATCGGGACACCGTGAGACACCACGGCGGGACACCCCCAGCCACCGCGCGCCCACCCGAAGTCCAGACATTTGCACCCGAATCGCCCTGGCGACGGCGGGATCATTCCTCTCGCGTGCCCACGCAGCTTCGCCTCGCCCGCACGCACGGCACGAAACCGAAACCGATTCCCGGTGGGGGTTTCTACGTTTCACGGAGATCTCACCCCACGACCTCCGACTGTCGTATAGTTCGCTTAGTCCGTAGGGCAGTTGTTTACGACGCCACCACCAAAGTAAACAATGCGAGAACGATGTATCTGCTGGCGAGCGGCCATTGTGCCAGCCGCCTTGCGAAATCTCGATAGTGCACCGAGGGCACTCAGTGGTTCACAAAAGGTGCCATCGCCAAAAGAAAGATCATCAATTCCAACTCCAATTCCAGTTAAGATCACCAATTCCAATCAACAGTTCCAATTCCAACATTTCTCGCCTCAAAAAAGATCACCAATTCCAGTTCCAATAAGGTGGTACCGTCGCTTAATATAAGTTCACGGCACTAAAGAACTTGACAGCATCTGGCATCCTATCCCTCCCATCCACCCCTTCCCATTGCACCGATTGCTTGTCCTATCCACCAACGGGTGTCATAGCGGACCTGCAACCCCCAAAAGGACCACGTTGTGCCATGCACACTCAGAAAAAAGGGAGATTCGTAAATTGGAGGAGGTGGCGGATGAGCATGATAATTCACAAGCAAACAAGGAAGAAACAAAAAACGAGGAGCAACAGCAGCAGCAAGAGAAGGATGCGGGAGGAGCGGGAGGAGGAGGAAAGCGGGGGAGGGCAAGGAGCGGGGCGACAACGAGGAGGAAGGACTCGGATCCACAAATGCAGCCCGCGCCAGAGCGAGAGTGGCAGTCGGAACGATGGGAGCACAGCGCCAAACCAAAGATGAGGCCAACGCTGCAGCGGGAGCACCACTGTGAGGCACCGAGCCCGGTCCAATGTACGCATGTACAGCATAAACGGTTCAAATCCTGTTCGTTAGATACACAAAGAGGGCGGGACACCTGATCAGAGAAGTGCCTGTAGGAACCGTAGGGGGTGGAACCAACGAGGGGGCATCCATGCCCATGACCGTCTCCATCTATCGCACAACCTCGATCGGTCTCACGATCTGCCGGCCTCCATATACGTATACAAGTGTCTGTAGTGTGTTTGTATATGCATAAATACGATCATGTGTGTATGTGCACATGCACGTGCGGATCACACTGCCAAAAGGTTTGCAACTATGTCGGTCAGTACATCTATAGATTCCCATATCTATACCACCATCGACCTCACTAATTATCAACCGATCTCGCGATCAGTCGATCTCCGAAGCTCATAGAGAAACCATCAAGACATCCATCGGGACAACCATCGGGAAAACCATCGAAACAAGCATCAGGACAACCATAAGGACACCCATCGGGACAACCGTCGGGAAAACCTTGGCGACAACCAGCGGAGCAACCGCGAGACAACCACGCCACAACCACGGGACAAACGCGGGACAACCGCGGGCCCACCGCGGGCCCAATCCGCCACTGAGAGGAGAGGAGAGGAGAGGAGAGTCTTTTGCTCCGACTTCGCCCTGGCAACGGCGGGATCACTCCTCTCGCCCGCGCACGCAACTTTTCCTCGCCCGCGCTAACTGCACGAACACAAAAATGAAACTGAATACTGAATGCCCAAGAGGGGTCTGCTTCTCACTCTGACCCCCAACCTACGACTCAGATTGTGAAATTGCAAATAGGAAGGGAGGAGGGAAGAGGGAGGAGGAGGAAAGACAAGGACGGGCAGGATGATTTAAAGGTAGGAGGGAGAAGCGAGGAGGGTGCGCGGGGCATCTCCTGTCCCCGCCCCCTCCTTCTCGTCCTCCGACCCATCTTCCCCTCTCTCTGATCCTCCCCGCTCCCTCTCCCTCCGCCCCGAGACTGCGTCCTCAGATATCCGACGTCTCGATGTTGTCAAGGCGGCCCCTGGAAGTCCCGCCCCCTTCCCCTGGACTGGCTCTTCAGCCCGAGCCGGTTTTGTTCACGGCTCTGCACCGGGCCCGGCGAGGGCCCCAAGAGGCCGAAAACAGCAACAGAACCGTCCGTCGTGATGTTTTGCCCCTGCCCCTCCCACGATCATGTCCCCATGATGGCCCCCGGGTCATAGCTCGGCTCTCGGGCGGCCGTCCAGGACGATCTGGGCACCCCTGGAGCGCTCTCGGCGAGGCGCAGCTGCTGAAGAGCACCCCGAGGCCAGGAAACCGCCGAAGACTGGCGAAAACGAAAACGCTGGAAAACCTCGAGCCCTTCCCCGCCCCGTCGTCCCTGCCATCGTCTCCCCAGTGCGATGGCGGTCCTCGGCAGCCTCGCCAGCCTGTTTCCGCCGGCCCTCAGGTGCTGGAGGGTACCAATGCGCCCGAAAGCCTCCGGGAGCACCTCCAGGGCATTGTCCTCCGCCACGAGGGGGAAGGAGGAAGGAGGAGGAGGAAGAGGGAGAGGAGGGGGAGAGGAGGAAGGCGAGGAGGAGGAGGAGGACGAGGAGGAGGAGTAGGACCCTGAGATTCTGGCATTGCATCTGCTTCACAGGAAAAGGAAGAAGACCGCGAGATCCTGGCAACGCATTGCAGATCGATGCGGCCCTAAACATGTCGCACAAAAGTCGCAACAAATATTGCACTCGCGATTGTTTTCGATGTTGGTGTTTGCTGCACTCTCGGATCTCAAGACAAGCCGCCCGAGTACGTCCTTCCAGCTGGCCCCAGCAGGCCCCCCAAAGACTCCGGGGCGTCCTCGGGACCCTGGCGATCCGCGCCCCAGGGCTGGGGAGGAGGAGGAGAAGGAGGTGCAAGAGAAGGAGGAGGAGGAGGAAGAGGAGGAGGAGGAGGAGGACGAGGACGAGGAGGAGGACGAGGAGGAGGAGGAGGAGGAGGACGAGGAGGAGGAGCAGGAGGAGCGGCAGAGCTGGGGAGGCCGACCTTCTCCTCGGCAGCGCACGAGGCGCCGCGGGCCCACCGGGCAGGCCCGCAGCTCCGCCGGCTTTTAGGGAGCGGGCCCTTCGAGGGCCGCGCGGCGGGCCTCCTGGTGCATCCCCAGACCCCCTCGAGTCATGATAAAATCACGACGAGAGGTTTTTCGCTATTTTCGGCCTCCGGGGGCCCTTACCGGCCCTCAGGACCGTCAAAAAACGACTCGGGATGAAAAGCCGGTCCTGGGGAATGGGTCTGGACCTCTGGGGGCCGCGTCATGAAAAAATCATGACGTCGGGGGTCTGGGTCCCGCACTTGTCGAGGTTGTCCGACCCGAGGAGTTTCACTTCCAGAACTGCGTCGTCGTGCAAGATGAAGTGCTGGACTGTCGAGGACAGCGCATGGTCAGCATCATCGCCACAGTGAGCGCCAAGGTCCTGCCTGTCCAGCGCTACGCCTTGGGCGAACGACCGCCGGAGGCACGCCAAGTGGACCAGGCGCGGGCACTGGAGGCATCGGGCGATGGAGTCGAGCGCGCCCGAGGGCACCCGCCTCCAGGAGGACGAAGCGCCACAACCAGCGTCTGCAGCCGGAACCACCGAGCACGGCGATTGAGGGTACAGCAGGAACACCTAACCACGCCGTGACCCCCTTCTTCAGCGTCACCTCGAAGCCGTATTTCGTTCAGTGAGTCTCGAGAGCCTTGGTACTGTTTCGTTGCGGCTCGGGTCTGGCACCAAGCTCGAGCGCGTCGTTCACCGCGCGGTTGGCGATGGCAGCAGCACGAAGGAAATCATGACACCTTCGGAGCGGCACAGTCTTCGCCTGGCCGCGTGAGATGGCCTCGAAGCGCTGAGCAATGGCTTCGGGCGCCTCTGGGAACAGCAAAGACCTGCACTTCTCCGCGAGCGCGCCCAGGTTATCGAACTGATGCTAAGGTTGGGGCCGCTGCGCCAGCGCGAACGCGGCGGCGCGCAACATGGCGCCCGCTAAGTAGGTCAGCATGGCACGCGGCGACGGGCTAGGTATCCGGTTGTTCAACGGGTGGACGCCCATCAGGCGCAAAGTACTGGGTGGCATCCACAACGCTCCGTGGATGGCGCAGGCGTCTCTGCGACGCATGGGCTTCAGAAGCTCGAAGAACTGCGCTGAGTAGTCGAGGGCCGAGATCGCGGAGGAGACTCCGATGGCAACAGATCGCCGCCACCACTTGTAGCCAGCCGCCGCCCACTGCGAGGCGCCGCCCGGACGTCAAGGCAGACGCCCTCCGCGGCGACCTCGACGTGGATCCGCTCGGCCAAGCAGGCAACGAGGGGCGCGGCGATCTCGGCGCGCGCCGCGCCGTTGAGCTCCACCGAGCGGGGGGCCGGGGGCGCCCCCCCCCCGTCGAGGCGCAGGTCGCCGCGGCGCTCGGCGCCGCGACGCACGCTCGCCGACGGGGCGGGGGGCGCCAGCTGCTGCGGGCGGGCGCCCAAGCCCTCGGCGCATGCAGCGGCGGCGCCGTCGTCTGCAGTCGGCGGCGGCCCGGCTCGCGGCACTGGCGACGGCGTCCACCCGACATCATTTGTAACCAGCAACACATTTTCGGATGCGGCTGTAAAAACGCAACAAATGGAGCAAACTGTTGGGCCACCCTCGAGCCCAGAGCACATGCGGAGCGGCACTCGCCGCGCAACGCAGCGAGACCGAGCGACGCGTCGCACAGCGCCGCGACGGCGTTCAGGAAGCCAGCCTCGCAGCAGAAGTGCCGCGACGCTGCGACGAGCCACCGTCTCCCCAAGGAGGGGAAGGCGGCAGCGATGTCGAAGAGCATCAGGGCGGGACGCTCAAGCGCCATGTCGGGGCGCCATGCCGACACGCGCCCAAGGACGCCCATGGGAACAACGCCGTCGCAGAAGTTGCGGCCCCTGCTGAAGCCCCGCCGAGCGCGGGGGGCGCGGGAATCCACCTGGCCGCGCACTTGTCGGTCGAGGGCTGCGGCGAAGGCATTCGAATCGGTGCCCTCGCGCGAGGTCGGCCGCAAGTTGCCCGCCTCCAACGCGCGAGCGCCTGCAGGTCGCCATCTTCGGCGACCGTCGGGGAGGAGAGGACGAAGTCGTCGAGGGTAGCGGGGGCGGCGCCGCTCTTGGAAGGCCCGCGCCAGCTCCTCGAGGCTCTCGAGCGCCCCAGGCGCCCCAGCCAAAGCCCGACACGACAAACGATCGGGCCCAGGCGCCAGAGCTCGCGATGTAAGCGCCGCACGCAGCGCGGTCATGGCCGAGGGGGCGATGAGACCGGCGATGGGAACAGTCGGCGGCGGCGCAAGCTGGGAAACGCACCCGCCCCCCTGCGCGCGGAGACGAGACGCCAGTGGGCCCGCAGCGCTGCGACCCGTGATCCCCGGGGGCGGAGACCGCGGCGACGCCGCCAGGGAGACGGATGCCAGCGGGCCAACACGGGCGCAGGGGGGCCCACGATTTGTCACGCCTCTGCAGGATCATGGCCTGGCGCCGCTGGCACTCGGCCTCCAGACCGCGCAATGCCAGGCGAGAACGCAGGGCAGCTGCAATCGCGCGTTCTTGGCGAGGGCGATGTTCCTGGCGGTGGGAACGACGCGACTCCTCTGCTCATGTGATTCCACTCGAGAACGAGATCGCGCGGACTTCAATATCGCGCGCTTCCTCGCGGACGGTTGCGGCGCACTTCGGCGCGAGCACCAGCGCGAAGCCCTCGCGCAAGATAGCGCGCGAGACAGAAAGCGCGCGAGGAGCCTCGCCTCTGCGGCAGCCCGGCGAACGCGGCCCCCAGGAAGGCGAACGCGGTAGAGGCGCGGCATCCGCGCGAGCGCGATCAAGACTTGCCCGGTTCCAGCTCAACACGCCGACCCGTTCAACTCCGAAAACAAAGAGCGCTGGCACAGGAGCTCCACGTTCTCCGTGTAGAGCGGCATCTCGAAGAGAAAGCCGGGGATCGGTCGGGCGCCCACGGCCCCGGGCGCTGCTAGACCAATGGAGAGAGCAAGGATCGCATGAGCGCCCAGCCCCCCATCGCTCAGGACACCAGGCACAGCGACGACGGCCGGCGACATCGTCAAGTTCGGGCACGAGGGCGCTACAAGAGACCGCTCCTGGGGTGCTTCAGCGCGCGAGGGTCGAAACGCGCGGGGCTCGCCGCTGCTTGCCGCCGTCATCGAATAATTAGAAGAGCCCGGGCTAGAACGACGGCTGGCACTGGTCGCCGCCGGCGCAGTTAAGAACGAGGCACTGCAGCTCAGCAAAGGAGGGCGCGGGCTCGTCGCGGCTGCCCCTAAGTGGCCGAAGGCCCGGAAGATCCGCCGCAGCGGCGCGGCACGGGCCCAGAAGGGGGGCATCGCATCCACGCGCTGCGAACATCGTTGCGCCGCACGGCACTGAGCTCATAGTTGCGGACGTCGAGGAAGACTGCGACGCAGATGCAACCGACGCAGTGCTCGAAAATTTGCGCTCGGCCCAGCATGAGAAGACGACGTAGCAGAACTGCGCGCGAAGACGTCGGAGGATTACCGAAGTGCGTTGGCCAGGACGGCCCCCGCGTTCGAGATTCGCTTGCATCGTTGAACCCGGGCGACGAAAAACCCAATGGTCGCTGAGAGCGCCTGGTGTTCTGGCTCCTAGAGCTGCCGCGGCTAGCATCTTGGGTCGCTGCCCCTACGCGATGGCTAGCACTTGCCACGAGCAGCGTCCGCTGGCGCCCTTGGCCAGAAGCTCCAGCACGACCCGCGGGATCCAGAGGAGAGGGCAACACTCCAGGCTCCACTTGGACAGGTGGATGCACGGGAAGATGGTGCCTATGCTCGACATGGAGGCCAGCGCCAGCAGGGACCAGGCCATGGCCGCCCAAGCGAGCTGCATACGTTGGGATACGTTCCCCGAGCTCAGCTAGCCAGGACCAGCTGGGCACCGATGAGCTTGTAGAAGATGCGCTCGACGGGGGAGAAGATGTCGAAGTGGACGAGTCCGATGCAAAGCTGGACGCGTCCGATGCCTCTGCGGAACTCGGCGATCCCCTCGAATGTGTACCAGGGACCAGCGGAACACGTTGATATGATCGCGCGATGAGCACAGAAACGATCCTCCGCCGGCTCTTGAATTGCCGCTGCTGCTGTGGAAGATTGAGTACCTGCACGTGGTGCTGTTGATCAGACGGCGCCACCTCAGCTGCGCGATCCAAGGCAATCCTGGATGGCGGCCGCGTCGCCCTGGCGCAAGAGCGGGAGGCGCTGCGCCTGCTCGGCCCGGCGGCGGCCATCCACTGCGAGGAGGGCCACCGCGCTCCAGGAGATGACCGCAGCTCGCTCTCATAGGGTCGAGCAGCTCACTGCACTCTGAAGCCTGCAACGCCCTAGGAGCCTCCGATGGAATCATCCATAGCAGAATTTCTTGTGAGGCCCATCTCCGGGCGCCCAGGACACCGAAGGTCACCCCCACGAGGTGCCACGGCCCCCGGCGAAGAAGCCGAGGGGGGCCGTCTGCCGACTGCGCGCCGCCACGGCTGCCCCTGCAGAGGGCGAGGGGGCGCCGCCCCTCGCCCTCGGAGGCGGGCGGCGCCTGCGGGGACACGGCCTGGCAACGGGAACTCCGTCGGTGGTGACCCGGCCTCCTGCTTGCAGGGGCGAAAGCTGCGCTGCTGACACTCGTGTGCGAAACGACGGTGCAGACGCCTTGTCTGGACTTCACGACGGACTCGACGGGCGCTGCGCTCGGTGCGGACGAAGAGAGGGGCCTGCTGGCCACTGACGGCGGTGCGGGAGAATCTGCGCCACGAGCCTCCGAGCCCTCGCACGCGGAAGGAGAACGACTTGCAGAACACCGAGCAGCCTGACGGTGAAGCGCATGGCGGGAACATCTCCGACGATGGTGGCCGGCGCACTGTCGACTCACGAGTCCTGACACCATTGCTGAAGACCTGGGCGTGAATTTCGACGGGCGACGAGCTGAGGACATCCAATCGAGAAGACAACGGGGGCGGGCGGCCGATCGAGCGCCGACTCGGCGACGAGGTCCGCGACTGGGAGGGCAGCCTCTGCCAGCGCCAGCGTACGGTTGATTTCATCAATCGCCACGCGGTGGCGCGCTCCTGCTCTTGCTCAGTGGTGGAAAATCGTGGGCGGAGTTCAGCAAGCTCTCCCTCGGTGGCTGCATGCCGACGGCTGGAAGATTCTTGAGCTCTTGATGGGGTGAAGTGGCGACTGTCTGAGCTGTCGGTGTGCGACATCCAACCGTGGGGGTGTCGACGTGGGAGAAGGAGGAGGAGGAGGAGGAGGAGGAGGAGGAGGAGGAGGAAGAGGAGGAGGAGAAGGTGGTGGAGGGGAGGGGAGGAGGAGGAGGAGGAGGAGGAGGAGGAAGAGGACGAGGATGAGGAGGAGGAGGAGGAGGAGGAGGAGGAGGAGGAGGAGGAGGAGGAGGAGGGGGAGGAGGAGGAGGAGGAGGAGGAGGGGGAGGAGGAGGAGGAGGAGGAGGAGGAGGAGGAGGGAGGAGAAGGAGGAGGAGGAGGAGGAGGGAGGAGGAGGTGGAGAAAAAGGAGGAGGAGGAGGAGGAGGAGGGGAGGAGGAGGTGGAGGGGGGGAGGAGAAGGGGGAGGAGGAGGAGGAGGAGGAGGAGGAGGGAGGAGGTGGAGGAGGAGGAGGAGGAGGAGGAGGAGGGGAGGAGGAGGAGGAGGAGGAGGAGGAGGAGGAGGAGGAGGAGGAGGAGGAGGAGGAGGAGAGGAGGAGGAGGAGGAGGAGGAGGAGGAGGAGGAGGAGAGGAGGAGGAGGAGGGAGGAGGAGGAGGAGGAGGAGGAGGAGGAGGAGGAGGAGGAGGAGGAGAGGAGGGGAGGAGGAGGAGGAGGAGGAGGAGGAGGGGAGGAGGAGCAGGAGGAGGTGGAGGAGGAGGAGGAGGAGGAAGTGGAGGAGCAGCGCAGAGCGAGTGAGTGATGAACTTGGGGGGGGCCGGGTGCAGCGCGTGCAGGGGCGCCAACACCAACCGCGGAACGGGCCTCACTCCAAAGATTTGCTTCGTGCAGGGGGCCTGCACAAGAGGTCCAGGAGCTGCGGCTGCTGCGCCAGCGGGGCCACCAACCCGCTCCTGCAAAGGGATGCTTAAGAGCATCGACGAGCTCTTCCATAGCAGCTGCAGGTGCGGTGACAGTGAGGACAAGTCCAGTGGCCCCACCAGGTAGATGTACACGCTCTCGAGGACGAGCCGGCCAGGCGCGATCAGGTTCGCGATGGCGGGGCCGTTCAAGCTGTATGGCACTGGCACCACCGCTTTTCCCCCTCTGGCACGTTGAGGTTCGGATCGGTCGTAGTCAGGTTTGCGACGAGAGCGACGGTCTCCTCCACTGCGAGACGCACTATGTTCCTGAGCAGAGGGAATTTGCGATCTACCACTTCCGAAGTCGTCGTCGGACGGTGCCGCAGAGGCGGTAGCAGGCATGGCGTACACGAAGGAGGCGTCCACGAGGTAGCACTCGGCACTGTCCACCACAATGCCAGGCAGGAGAGACTCGATCGCCAAGAACCGGATATGGATTGCCAGCAGCAGCGCCAGAAGCGACAGCAGCACAGCGAATATGGAGACCCACGGGCGGAAGCGTGGGTGGCCGCACACCCCGGAAAGGAACGGCAAGAAATTGGAAACTGTCCGCAGCCCAGCGGTCTCCATGTGGCCGCAGGGCGACATGGTGGCTTGAGCCAGAATGGCTTGAGCCGAAAAAGCTGCGGAGGAGGAGGAGGAGGAGGAAGAGGAGGAGAAGGAGGAGGAGGAGAACGACGACGACGACGACGACGACGACGACGACGACGACGACGACGACGACGACGACGACGACACAACGACGACGATGACGACGACGACGACGACGACGACGACGACGACGACGACGACGACGGCGACGACGACGACGACGACGACGACGAGAACGACGACGACGACGAGGAGGAAGCGGAAACGGGGGTGAGAGGGAGAGGAAGAGAGGGGGAAGGCCAGAGGGGGAGGAGGAGGGGGAGGAGCAGGAGGACGAGGAGGACGAGGAGGACGACGAGGGCGAAGGCGCGGGCGACAGCGGCTGGAGGAGGGCGGAGGGAGAGGCCCGGCATCCTCCAGGCGCAGCCACTCCAACGCCCGCAGCCCGCAGAAGCCCTCTGGCAGCGCGGGCAGGCGGTTGCCATGCAGCTCCAGCCACCTCGGGCCCGAGGGGGGGCACGCCGCGGTCCAGGGGGACACGCCGCGGGGCCCAGAGGCGAAGCGGCAGCAGGAGCAGCAGGAGGAGCTGGAGGGCAGCAGCCGGGGCACGAGGAGGGGGAGGAGGGGGGGGGGGGGGAAGGGGGAGAGAGCGGAGGAGGAGGAGGAGGAGGAGGAGGAGGAGGAGGAGGAGGAGGAGGAGGAGGAGGAGGAGGGGGAGGAGGAGGAGGAGGAGGAGGAGGAGAAGGAGGAGGAGGAGGGGGAGGAGGAGGAGGAGGAAGAGGAGGAGGAAGAGGAGCAAGACGCGGCGTAGAGTCTCCCGTACGTCACGCCTCGCCTCTTGGAGGCTTGGCCGCCGCGCCCGCCACAGAGCCAGCGCCGCCCGGCAGCTTCCCCGAGCGAGGGCAGAGTGCAGCAAGCGAGCGCAGCGGACAGCAGCTGCACGGCCTCGGGGGCAGGCCGCAGGGCCGGGAGAGGCGGGCAGCGTGCTGCCGCAGGCCCCCGCGGCGCCCCCCGGGCGGCGCCACACCCCCGAGGGAACGCCGCGGGCGCCCCCGGCCAGGGCTGCAGGCTCCTCGTCGCCACGGCCGGGTGCGCCTCGAGACAGGGGTCGGGCTGGTCCGCGGGAGGGGTCCAGGGGGCCGGGTTCCGGGCGGACCTGGGACGGGCGGGGAGGGCCACCGCTGCCTCCACCGGCACTCCTCCGAGGCATCCCGAGCTCGCTGCGGCCCGCCGCTCTCGGCGCCCCAGGCGCGCGCGAGCATCAGATCTGCGGCGCCGGGTGCTCGCGGGGGGCCCCCGGCTGCTCCCTGCAGGCCCTCGAGAGCCCCTTCCGAGAGCGTCGGGAGGACGCTGCCGAGGAGGTGCTGCTGGATCGCGGCGTGGCGTCGCTGTCCAGTGGGCGCCGACTCGCCGTCCACGGGTCTTCGAGGAGCTGCCGCCGCTCCGCCTCGAGGCGAAGGCCTTGGAGCACTCGTCCCAGGCGATGCCCAGAGGCTGAGAATGAAGCACAGCCTCGGCACGGTCTCTCCCGCTGTCGGCCGAGGCGGTCCACACTGGAAGCTCCGCAGCGCCGACGATGCTGCACAAAAACTGGAGCCACTGGGTGGCGCGGCGGCATGCCACCACGTGGCCAGACAGCGGAGGGGCCGAGGGGAAAGCGAAACTGAGGCCGCTTCCCCGGGCACCCTGACAGGCCAAGGTCAGCGGCACGAGCGCTGGCAGGCCCTGGCGTGGCAGTCGTCACGGATGAGAGCCTCCTTGGGGCCCCAGAGGCACCACCGTCCAAGCGTGCCACCTCCCAGCGCGAGCAGTACGCGGAAGCGGGGCCTGCGGCTCTTCGGGGAAGGAGGAGGGAGAGGGAGACGAGGTAGAGGAGGAGGGGGAAGAGCGAGAGGAAGGGGGAGGAGGAGCAGGAGGGTGGGCAGGGAAGGGGCACACCTCGGGAGCAGGGGGGGAGGGAGGGAAGCCCCCTGGCCGCCTCAGCGCTGGGAGCAGCCCGAAGCTGCCCGGGAGCTCCAGGAGCTGGGTCGGGCAGCCGCCGTGCGGACCCCACCCCGCACGGCCAGAGTGAGGGGACCGAACGGTCACTCGCGTGTCGATCCCCCCTCCCCGGTAACCGCTGCATTCTTCAGTTGAAGTGTTTCTCTGGGGCTCGTACCTTGTTTGACAAGAGAAAGCGAGGGGCCACCAAACCGCATGCGGGACCTATCCCAACCGACTGGTACCAATTACAACATAACTGGGGCACTTCTCATCCGGCCAAAAACCAACTGGTCCGGTGCCAGCTACAACAATCCATCTCAATAGGGTTCTATGCGTAGGGCATCTTGAGACGACTCAGGACTCAAACGCACATCTTCAGAGTGTACACTCACTCTGAGCAACAACATGCGCGCCACGGTTGGAATTGGGACTTCTTTACCTTCTGGCACCTGGGAGTTGTGCTGTTTTGAAACTGAGCTGTCGTAGCCAGTGCTACTGGAGCTCTGCGGGTGGCGTATGAGAACTGGACAGGCGTCTCTCAGGAGTCATTCCAGGAGCCGCGCCTCTCAGGGATGCTGAAAGGATATATCAAACATCCTGTACAGATCCCTTGGGGATCCTGTAAGGGTCTCTAGGGGATCCTGCACGGGTCTCTCAAAGAGCCTGGAAGGATCTCGCAAATATCCTGGAAGGATCTCACAAGGAACCTGGAAGGATCTCCCTGGGATCCTGGAAGGATCCCCATGCGATCCTGAAAAGATCTCCCAAGCATCCTGCAAGGATCTCAAAGGGTTCCTGCATGGATCGCTCGGGGATCCTGGAGCCTGTTTCTTCATTCGCGGCGATATCGGGCGCTACGGGGGGGCGGAGGGGGGGAGAGGGGCATAACGTAACGCCCCCCCCCCCGGCAGTGTGGTTCCGGCACCACGGCAGCGTCCGCGCGCACGACGTCGACAAGCGACGAGCGACGAGCGACGACGACGACGACGACGACGACGACGACGACGACGACGACGACGACGACGACGACGAGGCGAATGGCGAAGACCACAACGACGACGACGACGACGAGGCGAAGAACGACGATGACGAAGACGACGACGAAGACGACGACGAACACGACGTCGACGACGACGAACACGACGAGGACGACGACGACGACGACGACGACGACGACGACGACGACCGGCGACGAGACAACGACCGACGACGACGACGTCAACGGCCACGACGACGACGTCAACGGCCACGACGACGACGAGCGACGACGACGACGACGACGACGACGGCGACGGCGACGACGACGACGACGAGCGACGTCTCCAGAGGCCCTCCAGAGGTCCTCGGAAGGCATCCGGAGGCCTCCCGAGGCCCTCAGAGGCCTCCCACTGCGTTCAACGACGACGAGAGACGGCGAGCGACGACGAGCGATAACAACAACGACGACGACGACGACGACGACGACGACAACGACGAGCGACGACGACAGGACGAAGAGCGACGATTGCAAGAGACGAGTTGTGGCGAGCACATGCCTGCGAAGGCGTCGCTGCCTCCACGTGGCGTATAAGAGTAAGCTCCTTCCCTCCCTCCTCCTTCCTCGTCGTCATCGTCCTTCTCGTCCTCTTGCTCGTTCTCTTACGAAAACCACAAGTGCCTGAGCAGCGCACCTTGCCCGCGACCACTGCGGATCCCTATCAGGATACCTTTTGTGATCCCTATGCGGATCCCTATGCGGATCCCTACGGGGATGCCCGTGCGGATCCATATGCGGATCCCTATTGGGATCCCTATGCGGACATCTACGCGGTATCCTAAGGAGATCCCTGTGCGAATCCGCACGTAGGTCCCTATGCGAATTGCCATGCGGATCCGTATGCAGATCCGCATCCGAATCCGCATGCGGATCCACATGCGGATCCCTATGCGGGTCCGTATGCGTATCGTATGCGGATCCCTGTGCAGATTCCTTTGCGGATCCCGATGGGCATCCCTGTGCGATCCCCATGCGGACGGATCCCTATGCGGATGCCGCATGCCTATGCGGATTTCTATTCGGCTCCCGATGCGGACCCCTAATTATGCGCACGACGGCAGTGCCGGGGCTGCACTGGGGGGGGAGCGTTACGTTGTGTGTGTGGGGGGGGGGGGCTGGGGACCATAACACGCGTCATGGCCCAGGCAATCAAGAAACACGCGTAAGGATCCCCCAGGGGTCCTGTGTGGATCTCTCAAGTACCTGTCGGGGGTCCTGCAAGGATACCGCAGGGAATCTGGAAGGATCTCGTAAGTATCCTGGAGGGATATGCTCGAAATCCTGCTAGGATCTCTCAAAAGTCCCGTATGGATCTCCGAAAAATCATACATGGATCCCTGGTGAATCGTGCAAAGATCCCTGAAAAGTCTTGCACAAATCTCCGGGGCATTTCTGCAGAATCACCCGGAAGATGGAGAAATCTCGAAAGAATCCATGAGAAACTCCCTACAGAAATGTTTGAAGGACCGCGAGGAGTGATTGGAGAATCGCGAGGAACATCTGAACAAACACGAAGGATCTCTGCAGAATCGCGAGGATCCTTGAGAAAGCTCTGAGGAATCGGAAAAACTCTCTGAATAATCATGAGGATACTCGGAAGAATCACCAGGCATCTCTAGAAAGAACCTTTGAAGAATCCAAAAGGAACGGCGGAAGAATCCCGGATGAATCCTGCCAAAGCCTGATGAATCCTTGAGAAATCCAGGAATCCGGAGGAATCTTTGAGGAATCCAGATGAATCCCTCAGGAATCCCGCGGAACCCTAGAGGAATCCAAAGAAATCCCTCGGGAATCTCCGAGGAATCCCCGGGGAATCCGAGGGAATCCCCGACAAGGAATGAAGAATGTCGGAGGAATCTCCAAGGAATCCAGGAATCCCCCAGGAATCTCAAGGAACCCTCCAGAACCTCTAAGGAATCTATCAGGAATCTCGGCGGAACCTCCAAAGAATCGGCTGGGATTGGTACCAGTTGATAAGACTTGGTGCCAAACTGGCTGGACTCCGTGCCAATCGGTTGTAATCCGTTGCGTTTTCGGCTCTCCCCCCCCCCCCGCGGTTCGAACCAAGGCGGGGAGGGGGGGCTCCCCACCCCCTCCCCCCTCTCTCAGGTTCGGGCAGTGAGGCTGTTTGATCCCCCCCCACCAATCGAGCCCGGGGAGGGGGGAGGCTTGCCAGTAACAGCAGGAGGCCCCCCACACCCCGGCTCGAACCGGGAGAGGGCCTGTCGGGAGGCGCTCTTTCCAACTCTGTCACGCCAGGCGCCTTCGCCCAGCACCGGGCACTGAGGCCATCACAGACGGGCCCGGCCCAAAACATGCAGCAGAAAGGTGAGGTCCACTGCCCCAGTCGAGATGTCTCAGTGCGCTGTATACTGCTTGTGATGTGTCGGACCTCCAGGTCCCAGATCCTCCACCCCCACTGGCCTGGTGAGCCCCTGCTGATCTGAGAAGGCTTCGGGCTGCGCACGGACAGCCCCCTTGGTAGTCTTAGGTCGGGCATGTCCTCCGACAGGCGGATGCTGGAAGAAAAATGAATCGTCGAACCGTGCGCATAAAAATCATCAGACATCATCGAGACATCGTCCCCAGACTACAGTCGGGGCGTTGCCCTAAGGAACCCCAAATAAGGAACGAGGCCCCTCCTTTCTCCCCATAAGTTAAGCCTCGATGTCCCATGGAAAACCCCAGGAAAACCCGAGGCAAACTTTGAGACAATCAAGGAACACCGAGCCCCTCCCCAGCGAAAAGGGCTCCTTCTTCAGCGCCCCGACTGCATCGCCTGGCGAATTCGGAAGATATCCCTCCGGCAGGGGAGGGGCGTGCCCGAGCTGTAGCCCCCGGTGCTCCCCGCGGGCCTCCACGGGCCCCCCGGAGGAGTCACCGCCGGCCTCGGCGGGGGCCTGCCTCGAGCAGCCCCCCAGGGCGGCCTGCACGCCCTCGCGCGCCGCCCCCACGGGGGGCGCGGCCCACGGGGGCGCGCTGCGCAGCACGGGCGGGCCTCTGGGGCTTCGCGGCCCCCTAGGGAGCCCTGCCGAAGCTCCGGTGGCATGGTTCGCATGCCGCCTCCCCTCCACTCGGATAAGACTTCACACGTTTCGTTGCCCCGTAGGGAGCTCCACCGAAGGCTCCAATGGCATGGTTCGCATGCCGCCCACCTCGCAATTTGGCAGCCCGAAGGCCTAGCGTGTGGTCGGGCAGGTCCTCCTGCGGGCGGCCTCTGGAGGAAGAGTGGAGCACTGCCAAAAACCATACTCCACACTTGACGAACAAATAGTCAGAACAAATGTGGCCTGACGAATCTCTACGACATCTGAACCTTCCTCCTGTGGAAGGACGTGCCCGACCTAAGCTTACCACGCTTACCCGAGCCGATGGGCAGCAGGCGTGGGGAGTGCGCGTGCGGCTGCCCCGCTGGTTGTTGTGCAGGTCGAGGGTCTCGAGCGCCGGGAAGCCCCTGCCGAAGTTCTCGGGCAGCCCCTGCGCGCCACGAGGGGTCCCAGCCGAAGTTTCCGCAGACCCAGAAGTGCTCGCGCCGTGACAAATCACGCAGGGGGGGGGGGGGGGCTGTTTTCGGCCTCTGAGGACCCTCGCCAGGCCCCAGGACCTTCACAATGCGACTCGGGATGAAAACTGGCCCTGGGGAAAGGGTCGGGACTTCCGGGGACTCCGTATTGACAAACATCGAGACGTCGCACGTTTGGGCACGCGCCCCGCCATGCGCGGCGCGCGGTCACCTTGACGTCATTGCGCCGCCCCCCCCCCTCTCCTGGAGAAAGTCAGCTCTCCAATCCAAAACGTGACGCGCAAAGACGGGATACTCTCCGCGACCCTGCAGGTGACCTATTGCCCAAAGGAGAACGAGGCTTCGGGAACGTTGGCCCTCCTGGGGGAGGCATCCTTTGGAAGCCCCCCACAGAGGCCTCCGTGCCGAAGCCTCCTCCTCCTCCTCTTCCTCCTCCTCTTCCTGCTCCTCCTCCTCCTCCTTATCCTCCTGCTTCTCCTCGTCCTCCTCCTCCTCCTCCTCTTTCTCCTCCTCCTCCTCCTCCTCTTCCTCCTCCTCGAGACCTCTACAGAAGCCTCTCTGGAGCTCCTCTCCTCCCCTCCTCACGTCCTCCCGTCGGCCCGTCCTCCCTCCTCCCCCCTCCCTCATCCATCCTCCATCCTCCCTCCTCCCTCCTCCGCGTCCGCCCAGGCCGACGCCGAGGCTTTGCTGGCTTCTCTTGGACATTTGGGATATCCCTCCCCTGGATCGCCCCTTCCTCGGACCTCGACGACGTCGTCGTCCGTCGCTCCTCGAGGCCAATCGCACCGCAGCACGCGCCCACAGAAAGGCTCGTAAGCGGGATGAGCTTGCCAGGGTTGCGCCCCGGTCGGCAGGTGGCACCCTTTTGCGCTCCTTCTCCTCAGCCGACGCCGCGGGGAGGCCCTGACCTTGCTTACTTTCGGGAACTGGGCCTGGTGGTGGCGGAAGTGGCGGATCCTCGCTAGGTCTCCCAAACGCCACCCTCCGGGCCTGTATCCTGTACGAGCACGAAGCTGTGCGTCGCATCATCAACCTCCTTCCTCCCTCCTCCCTCCTTCCTCCTCCCTCCACCCTCCATCGCTCCTCCTCCTCCTCCTCCTCCTCCTCCTCCTCCTCCTCCTCCTGCTTCCTCCTCCTCCTCATCCTCTTCGTCTCTTACCATTCCTCCCTCCTCTCCTCCTCCTCCTCCTCCTCCTCCTCCTCCTCCTCCTCCTCCTCCTCCTCCTCCTCCTCTTGCTCCTCTTGCTCCTTTTCCTCCTCCTTCTCTTCCTCCTCCTCCTCGTCCTCCTCCTCCGCGAAGGCTTCTTAGAAGGAGGCTGCTTCTTAGAAGGCAGCGGCCCTGCATCTATAGATAAGACCCGTGCCCTCTAAGAAGCAGCCTCCTTCTAAGAAGCCTTCCCCCCTCCCCCTAGACCCCCCTGTGCGTGGCCGCCCTCCCTGCGCTTCCTCCCGCTGCCCGAGGCGTCCAGGCCTCCAGGCGGTTGTCGGCCAGCGACAGCGTCCGCAGGGACCCGAGCCTGCACAGGCTGCTCGGCAGTCTAACCAGCCGGTTACCCGCCAGGTGCAGCGTGGCGAGCAGCTCGAAGTCCCCGAGGGCCTCGGGCAGCTCCGTGAGCTCCCTCTCCTCGAGGTGCAGGGCCTCGCGGCCTCCGGCGGCGCGCCGACGAGGGGGAGGGGCGGGGGGGCAGGCCTCCGCCTCCACAGCAAGCTCGGAGAAGCGAGCCAGGCCGCGAGCATCTTCTGCAGCACGCACGGCCTATGGGCTCCAAGCTCTGCGGCGGCTCGCGGGGGCCTGCCGTGCCATCCTGCTGGCCCCTGCGAGCCGACACGGCACGGCACGAGCCGCTCTCCGAGAGGTCGCCCTGAGAGGCGGCCTCTGGGCGGCCTCAGAGAACGGCTCGGGAGGAAGAGCTGGTCACCCAGGGAGGGGCTCGAAAGAGACGTGGGGCAGCAACCGACTCAAGACGTGGATGAGTTGACTGTTACGCGCAGCCCGCCACTCAGCTATGGTGGCATGTGGCCTCGCATGTTCAGTGGTCTCCGCACTGGAGCAGAAGGGCTACGGAGCTGGTCACCCAGGGAGGGGGTCGAGAGGATTGGGGCCCAGAATCACGAGGGCATCGAGCCGTCGGAGGTCTGGAGAGGCGGTGCTCCCAGGAAAGCAGCGGCGGTGGGCTCATGGGAAGGGATACTAGAGGCCTCCATCGGTGTGTGTATATGTATATATCTATATGTACACACACATACCTACATGCATGTATGCATACATGCATGCCTGCATGCATGCATGCCTACCTACCCACCTATCTACCGACCTACCTACCTACCGACCGACCGACCTACCGACTTACCTACCTATCGGCCTACCTACCTACATAGGTAAGTACATGCATGCATGCATGCATCCATACCTACCTACCGACCTACCTACACACCGGCCTACCTACCTACCTACCTACCTACCTACCTACATACATACATACGCACATTCAAACAAGCATACAAACACACACACCTGCCTACCTACCTACCCACCTACCTACCTACCTACCTACCTACATACATACATACATACATGCATGCATGCATGCATGCATACACCAATTAAATACATAGATACAAACAGACATGCATACATGCATACATGCATACATACGTACATGCATACATACATACATACACGCATGCATACATGCATGCGTACATACATGTGTGTATCCATACATACATACATACATACATGCATGCATGCATACATGCATGCATGCATACATACATACATACATTCATACACACATACATACATGCATACATACATACATGCATACCTACATACATACATACATACATACATGCATACAAACATACATACACACATGCATACATACATACATGCATACATACCTGCGTGCATGCATGCATGCATACATACATACATACAAACATCCATGCATACATACATACATACATGTACACATACACACACATACATATATACATATATACATACATACATACATACATACATACATACATACATACATACATACATGCATGCATGCATGCATGCATGCATGCATGCATGCATACATACATACATACATATACATACATACATACATACATACATACATACATAGGAGGCCTTCTTGGGAGGCTGGGACGAGGGGGGGGAGGCCTCTCCTCGAGGCGCAGCGCGTCACGGCCTCTGGCTGCACCCCCGGGGGCGGGCTGGGCGCGGGGACGCCGGCCCTCGAAGAGGGCAGGGCGGGGCCTGGCCCCTGGACAGGCTTCCCAGAAGCCGCGATACCCTGTTTGGCGGCGTGCACAGGGGGGTACGGGAAGGGGGCAAGGCTGCTTAGAAGGAGGCTTCTCCTCCTCCTCCTCCTCCTCCTCCTCCTCCTCCTCCTCCTCCTCCGCCGCCTCTTTTTCCTCCTCCTCCACCTCCTCCTCCTCCTCCTCCTCCTCCTCCTCCTCCTCCTCCTCCTCCTCCTTCTCGGCCGCTGTGGCCCAGGCGAACCTGGGCTTGCAGCTGCCGTCTTCAGAGTGGCAATCGCAGCTGCGGGCCTTTTTGGCAACTTTCAGTTTGGGGGATCTCAACCCCGACCCAGTCTCGGCTCCACGTGATTGCGCATGGGGCCCCCAGATCCCGATGTCCTCCCAGGCCCGAAGTCGCCGATGTGGGGATGTCCCTCGTGTGGACGCAACTCCATTGTCGCGAGTCGCATCAAGTATTTGTGTGGCAAAAAAGGGCGCCTCAGAGTGTCATCGGCAAGGCAAAGAAGAGGGCCTTTTGACTTTCAGTCCACTCCTCGTCAGGGTGGCGGCCAGCGTGCTCCTGGTGGCGCTTGAGCTCGGGGACCTCCAGCGGACACCTCTGTGGCACGCCAGCTTGGCCAGCTCCAGAAGCAGATGGAGGCTTTTGCCAAGCAGCTCAACGGCTCATCACCAGGACTGCAACCCCCTGCTGCCGCCCCCGTCGAAGCTGGCGCTGCTGACGGAGCGGACACCGACGATGCAGGGCGAGCGCTTCTTGCCAGAATCAAGTCCCTGGAGCGCACCCTGCAGGGAGTAAATGATGATAGCACGTTCCCCAGTAGCATCAACGAGTCCATGGAGAAGGAACCCGCCGATGCGCGCAGGTAACCCAACAGCACCAAGCCGTCCATGCATGTCGAGGCACACGCCCCTGGGGCTCAAGTTGCAGCGGTCCACCGCCAAGCTCGAGAAGCTCGAGGACGACATCACGTCTCAGCAGGCTCTCGCCGCTGCGGCGAGCAAAAGGAGCTGGCGGAGATGCAGGGGAAGGCCGGGCCTGCGCGGGCGGAGGCCGAGGCCACCAAGGTCGAGCTGCAGTCGGCGATGCCCCAGGTCGCCCCGCCCGCCGAGCCCGTGCGCGTCCTGGGTCAGGACACGGTGAAGGACGAGCCTGACATGCAGGCGTGCATGGCCTCTGCGCGACGCCAGGGGTACCAGCGACTGCACGAGGCGCACTGCAGGGCTCGGGCAGTCCAAGTACCGACCCCTTCAGCTCGGGGCGGCCCTGAGGGCCCTGATGGGGTGTGTCCCCCCGAGGGCAATGCCAGGCCGCCTGTTCCTTAGGAAAACCTACCTGCCCCGATGCATGATGATGACTGGGACGACCTCACTGAGGAGGTCATTGATCAGTTGCTCAAAACCGCCAAACAGGAGGAGGAGGGCAAACGAGCGTTCAAAGAGCTCATCTAGCGTTTTGGGTCTCGGGCAAAGAGGCAAAAGTGTGGGTGGCACTATGTTTCGATGTTCGGCTCCACTCGCGTGGGACACCTCTCTCCTGCACATGTGCTCCCGTTCCACTTCTGAGGGGGTATTCTGCAGGTCTGATACTGATGGGAAGTATTGCGCAGAGATTTTCAATGGCTCGTGCTGGGCCACGCTCCAGCGCCTCCTGCAGGAGAGCATAGCCAGTCCCCTCTGCGCGCAGGAGGTGGGCACGAGTGCTGCCCACGTGGGCAGGGTCACCGCCGAGGCCAGGAGTCTTGGGTGGCACGCTCTATTCCAACCTAATACCCCAACCAGGAGACGGGTAAGCTCTCGACGGGGGCGACCATCTTTGGGCGCCCCAGCATTTGTCTCCGTTGGCACCCTGAAGGGGGTGCTCCTGTGGCCCAACGTCGTATCATCCAGGTCTCGGTGGCTTTCCCTGGATGGCCTTCTCTATCCCTGCACTCAGTGTACCCTGCATCGGCGGAGGGGCTGGGATCGGACAACTTGGGTCTCTTGGCGGCTCTAGGCAGGTCCATCACACACCCAACTCACACGGTCCCTGCTGGCGGTTGGAACATGTCACCGCAGGCTCTCGAGAGCTCGGGCGTCACGCGCCGCCCAGGAATGCGGACCATAGGCATCGACGATCCGCTCGCCGACGTCGAGCTCCCCGATGGATGTCTTTCCCCTTGGCCCTGGAGTCGCTCGTCTGGCCCAGGGGGTCCCTGTTAAACTTTCCTGGGGGGGGAGGGGGGGGGAACCAGACCGGCCGGCGGCCCCTGAGAGCCGACCGGGCGCGTTGCATGTCGCGCAGCTCGTGCACGGATGCGTTCCACGAGTTCCGCTGGAGCTACCCGTCGGGCCCCGACCAGAAGAGGGACGTCGGGAGGGAGCGCGCTCGCTGGCCGCCGCCGCTGCTGCCCATGCTCAAATGCAGCCCTGCGACGGAGGCTTGGAGCAGCCCGAATGCTGCATGGACCACCTTTACAGACTGCGCCGAGCTGGAGCTTGTTCGGTTCCTTGGGGCCGAAGCCAAGTCGCTCGGAGATCGGGGGCATACTATTCGATCGTCGTGGGCCCCTGTATTCGATCGACCGACACTCGGGGAAGGTCGACTCCAAGCCTGCTCGGGATGGAAGCGGCTGCATCACGCGTTCGCAGAATTCGCACAGGCTACACTGAGCCTAGATGTGACCGACAGTCCAGATACAGTGGTTCAGGTTTCGCTGCAGCACCCCTGCCCTGGGGAGAGCCCCAATGTCCGCTCAGACGCTTCTCCCCGTGAGATGCGCCCCCCTGGCGGCGGAGCGGCGCCGAGACCTCCCCCGGGGCACGGGAGCGGAGCGCGAGAGCAGCACATACCTTCTTGGATGCCGTTGCGGAGGACCTCGCAGACGCCGACGCCACCACAGACGAGCTCCAACCGCAGTCTCGGGATGCCTGGCAGCAGCCGGCCCCGCCCGGCGAGGCCCCTGCGCCGCTTCGAGGAGGAGGAGGAGGACATGGAGGAGGAGGAGGAGGAGGAGGAGGATGGAGGAGAGGAGGAGAGGATATGGGAGGAGGAGAGGAGGAGGATGGAGTAGGAGGGAGGAGGAGGAGGAGGAGGAGATATGGAGGAGAGGAGGATAGGAGGGAGGAGGAGGAGGATATGGAGCCCGCTGCTGCCCCAAGCGGCTCCCGGCGTGCTGTCGGCCGACCCTGCGCGCCCCCATTGGAAGACGGGGCGCGAGAGCTCGGGGGCCCCCCTGGAAGGCCGCGCCCACGCCCCCCGAGGCGTGGACACCTGGCCGCGATGCTTTCCCTCGGGCGACTCCGGGCCAGATTGGATCGGCGCCGAAGTCATCCAGCAGGCATTCCGCGCAGTCGCTCGATTCTTTTCATGTTCACCACTGCGGCCTCCT